ATAAATTCATCATCCTTCATCCTAAAGAGCTCATATTCTGTGGTGAGCATGTCAATCTTGGATTGTTTGACCTGAGTGGTTCCTTCATGAGCGGTTTGCAACGCCTCCCATATTTCTTTGACAGTTTCACAAGCTGAGACTCTATTGTACTCATCAGGTCCTATGCCACACATCAAGATTTTCTTGGCACGGTAGTTCTTTTCTACAGCTTTTCTGTCAATGTCGTTGTACTCTCTTCTTCCTTTCGGCACCATTTGCCATGTTTCTTCAATCTTCTTCATGGGAACATGTGGACCATCACATATAATGTCCCACAACTCTGAATCTTCTGCCATAATAAAATCATGCATCCTGGTCTTCTACCACCCGTAGTATTGACCATTGAATCTGGGAGGTCTATAGGTTGATTGTCCTTCTTCAAAGCTTGGTAGCGCAGCCATAGAGGATTCCTCCTAGGTGTTAGCCTGATAGGAGAAACCTGCTCTGATACCAATTGTTGACTTATGTGAGTCCACTAAACTATAGAGTACCTGGTCCTCTAAAAGACTGATACGTAGAATGCAGTAACGACTGAATGTAAAGAAGGCCAGAGATTTTTTACGTGGAAAAATCCCACACAAGGGGATCAAAAAACCACGACCTACACCTGTAGGCTTTAAACTCAACTAACTTGTAATCTACATATTACAAGCCACTTTGCAAACACCCTTTTGCAAAGACTTCAAACTAACTTATGATGCACCACCACAAGCCACTCTATAAATCTCCTAGTTACAAAGGATTTAACTTATGACTATTCCTAGTCACAACATAAACGCTAAAGTTTACGAATTTGGTTTGTTCCTAAGACAGCGCTTCTAAGAAAGCAAACTAGGAATTACAATGTAGAACAATTAACAAGATTACAACTCAACTATGGACGTACATAAGACTCGGTTAGAAACCGATCCTTAGTGGAGTTGTCTTCTTGTTCTTGACACACCAGTGACTTCAATGCTGGATGAACTTTGTTATGCTTGAGAGAATATCACTGAATGCACAAAGAATAGTATATCTTACACCAGGTTGTTTTATCACAAAAGATGGCACAATGGATAGTGATGTCAACTCAAGGTGTATACTTCTTCCCAATGAGAAGTGACTGTTGTACAATCTGCACAGCCACTTCTGGGCAGTTGCGTTCCAGCTGGATAGTGGGCTTTGTACTTCCTATCAGGACACACCAACAGACCGGATCCTAGTTGTGTTCCTATTCTGTAACAGTTGCTAGATGGTCACTTTCTTCTGTCACGTTCCAGCTATGCACTTGACTTGTACTTTTTGTCAGAGAACCCTAAGACAACAAGTCCCTGTTGTGTTCCTCTTTATCTTGATTGCGTACAGTCATTGACTTGCTTGTGTCGGAGAACCCTAAAGGGCCAGATCATCAGGTCCCTGTTGTGTTCCTCCCTTTGCTGATTTTCATGTTTCGATTAGTTCATATGAAATGTATGTCCTGTGCGCCAGGTGCTCTATCTGGTTCTTCATGACAAGTTTGTTAGATCATCAAAACATAAAATACTGAAAACCCATCAATTCCTTTCTCGGCCGAAGTGTTATTCTCGTCAAAGATAACATGTATTGATTCTTCTACACACAATGTGCGTTTATTATAGACTATAAAGGATCTACTATTTAATGAATAACCCATAAAAATACCTTTGTCGCTTCTTGGATCGAATTTTCCAAGATATTCCTTACCATTATTGTGAATGAAACACTTGCTTCCAAACAGATGAAAGTAACTAATATTGGGTCTTGTACCTTTTCACAATTCATACGGAGTCTTCTTCAGAATGGGTCTTATGAGGCATCGATGGAGAATGTGACCTGCTGTACTTACTCCTTCTGCCCAGAAGTGATTTGGCAACGAATATTCTAGTATCATAGTTCTATTTCTCCGCTCAACGACTCCAATTTGTTGGGGTGGTCTTGGAGCAGAGAAATTGTGGGTGTATCATTAATCATTACAGAAATCTTCAAATGCTCTGCTTTCAAACTCTCCTCCATGATCACTTTGAATTGTTGTAATAAGATACCCCTTTTCACTTTCGTCCTTTTTACAGAATATCTGAAATTTTTTCAAAGCTTCGTCTTTGTGAGATAGGAAAATCACCCAAGTAAAGCGTGAGTAATCATCAACAATAACAAAAGCATATCGTTTTCCTCCTATCCTAGCAATTCTAGTAGGTCCAAATAAATCTATATGAAGCAATTGCAAAGGCTTTGAAGTAGATACAATATCTTTGTTTTTTGAAAAAGTTTCTAGTTTGTTTACCAACCTGACATGCATCACATATATGATTTCTAGAGAAATTGAGTTTAGGAAAACCAATAACTAAATCATGCTTAGAGAGTTTCTCTATCAAATGCATGCTTGCATGACCAAGTTTCTTATGCCATAATCATGGATCATCAGATATGGATGTTAAACAAATATGACCATCTATATTTTCAAAACCATCAAGAATATAGACATTTTCATACCTTTTACCTGCGAAGATTATTTTACATGTCTCATCTTCAATAGCATAACCTGTTTTCTTGAACTTTACTTCATACCCTAAGTCGCATAGCTGACTTATACTCAGAAGATTGTAGTTAAGTCTGTCAACAAGATAAACCTCAGTGATATCACAGTTATTATTGAAAGTAACTGTTCCGGTACCGACTATTTTTCCTTTTGAGTCATCACCAAACTTGACACTTCCTCCGTCTATTTTCGTAACTTCCTTAAACAGGTTTTTGTCACCTGTCATGTGACTGGAACACGTACTATCTAAGTATCATTTTCCTTTGCGACTCCTTCTGTGGTGTTCCTCGCTTGTTTCCCCTCGTGCCATGAAACAGTTCTCATTGTCGTCTTTGCATTCATCATCTGAAGTATCCTCATCTGTCCAACATCCTGAGAGTTTGTTCATGTCGTTTTCCAGAATTGTCATGAAGCATAGATTTGCTATCTCTTCGTGTTCTGAATTGTCTCATCACTCCAGTTTCCAAATGATTTGTTCTTGTTAAAATCTCTGGAAACTTTTCTTTTAAGACCAGGACATTCAGCTTGAACATGCCCAAATCTTCCACACTCATAGCATTTGCCATCATTTTTGTCTTGTTCGTTATACTGCCTGGTTCGCCTGGGTGGTATCCTGCCTCTTCTTCATTTCTGCATCTCCTCATTAAACCATCCACATTCATTGATACCATAGCAATTTGTTCTTTAAGAGCTTCAGGGTCGTCATCAATATCATTGTCTGCTTTTTCAGTAGTAGCCTTGAAAGCAATTGTTTTCTTCTTTTCTTCCTGGCTTGTTTTCTTGAGATGAGTTTTCTCGAAAGCTATGAGTTCTCCTCGAAGTTCGTCATATGATAATTTGTTCAAATCCTGTGATTCTAGTGTAACCACTTTTGTCTGCCAAGTAGTGGGCAGACTTCTAAGGATTTTCCTAACATGATCACCACTTTGAGTATGGTTTGCCAAAAGCTTTTAGATCGCTAATGATTTTTCTAAATCTAGCAGACATCTCTTCAATGGATTCTCCTTCTTTCATCTGGAAGAGTTCGAGTCATGAACCAACATGTTTATATGGGTTTGTTTCACTTTACAGGTTCCTTCATACGTATCTTCAAGTTTATCCCACATCTCTTTGGCTGTATCGTAACTGGAGATTTTCTTATATTCCTCACAACTTATAGCATTATAAAGCAGATTCCTTGCCATATTATTAACTTGTACAACTACCATTTGCTCATCTGTATATTCATCTATATCTTCAGGATCAATAGGTGGTTGAGCAGCAGCCGGCAGAGGGTAGTTTCCCTTTTTGATAACTCTCCAGACTTTGACATCATAAGCCTTTAAGTATATTTCCATACGCACTTTTCAGTGAGAGAAATATTGTCTATTGAAATACGGTGGCCTTACTTGCGATGTTCCTTCTTGGAAGAGTGCTCCGACAATAACTTGAATAGCCATGATCTTTTCTCACAAGCTGTTAAGCAAAAGAAAAATGTGAGCCTTGCTCTGATACCAATTGAAAGTACAAGGGGGGGGGAGGGGGGGGTGAATTGCTTATTTTTAAAATTAATTATTATAAGTTGACTAGTTCGCCAATTAGTCAACTAGATGTAATAGCGAGATATTAAGAAGTGCAGAATTAAAATGCAGAAGTAAAGTGCAGGAATTAAAGACGCCGGAGTTTTTACACTGGTTCAGATTCAATGTGAATCCTAGTCCCGTCCCCTTGGGTTGCAAGGGAGTTCTGTTTCAGTGATTGAGTTTCTTGAGTACAAAGTGAATGGTGTAGTTTACACCAACAGCTCAGTTTCTATGTCACTCGTCTTTTCTTGATACAATGCCTCACTAGTTTTTTTATCTCTTTCTTCTCTAACTTGTTATACAGCAGATCTAGAAGAACTACAATGTTTGTTTGCAGTAGAACAAAGAGAGGGTAATTGGTTCGATCAAAGTATATTTTTTTAAGTCCTAAGGTTGCGTATAAATACTTTGTAGGAGACCGTTACTGAAGAGATTTGCCAACCCAAGAGATTTGATCCTTAGAAAGAAATTGATTCTTTCCAAGAATAAGGTCAATTCCCGTTACACTTCCTTGCTTTCCATCTTTGAGTTTTGATAGCGTTGGATTTGCTCCTTCAATCTGGGTCCTTCCATCTTCAATGCTTCTTTTCCTTTTTAACTCTTCAAGCAATCTCTAATTTGACTTTCTTGCCGGATCCTCAGTGCTTCTTTTCCTTTGAGTGCTATCAATCTTTGATTGATTTCTCCCTTCGGCTTTGATTGTTGCACTTCGATCTTGGTTGATTATCTTGAGTCCCTACACCAAAAATAATTGTATTATTTTTCATCATTAAAACTAAAACCTAACATCATCACACTTGAAATTATACTTTTCTAGAAAATAAGAAAATAATTTTTTTAACCAAAGTCCTTAGTGGGCTGCTCCGACTCCGCCCCGTTTTCTTTTACTGAGCAGAGGTTGAAAATCGGGTGCCACTGTAGCTGCTGGAACCAAAAGAATTGGAGAATACAACAGAGGTAGCAGGAAAATGTGGAAAGACAGAGGACCCGGAGTGAAGATCCTCTGGCTTTGGGCCATCGGAACTGCTGGCAGTATAATACCCTTCTTCTCCATTTCTTGAGTTTTTCTTTTGTCTAGAATAATACCCTTTTGCCCAATATTTACTTTTCTTCTTTCTTGCAGTTTTGGTGACCAGCGTTGTGAGGACCAGAATGCGGGATATGGAGCAGCTCATGAATTCTCAACAACAAACGCCTCAACCTATTGACTCACCTGTGATTAGCGACAATAGTGATACTCAAGCGGCGAATTCTGAGGACTTCATTCGGGAGGAGAAAGTGTGAGAAAGTTGTATGCGACGTGTTTGATGATTTGTCTGAACGATGAGTTTTATTGTTCTTTTACAGAATTTGGAATCATTCGACTCTTTTCGGTTCTCTCATGGTTTCTCCTTTTCTCATTTTGCATTAGCGTTTTAACTTCACCGGCTTTATTTGAATGCTGTATAAAGTACACAACCAGTAAATCAGCTGATGGGCTTGATTGAGAAGTGATACTTGGTCATTATATAGGGATCTTTCTTCTTGTCGATCCTTGGTTTTCTTCATTATTTAGAACGGCATTCATCGGAGTAGGACTGTAGTTTCTAAAGTTTCTGCTTTTTCCTTGTGTTAAGGTAATGCTTTCTAGAGTTAATGGCTTTTATAGAACCCAGTTTTGGAGTTCAAATGTGCAATTAAGTGCGGATTTACTGAGATTGAGCTTAATAGAGCTCGGTTCTTATACCATGCGAAAGAATTTGAGCATCTAATGCAAAACGGCAAAAACTAAAGTGATCCAAAACCGCATTCAAAGGTGCGGCCTAATGGTCAATGAAGTGGGTTGAGAGCTGAGGTCTCAGGTTCAAATCCCAGCGGAGACAAAAACACTCGGTGATTTATCCCATATGTCCAAGCATTGGTCCTCCACAAGGTAGGGGTAAGGCTGCGTACACACTACCCTCCCCAGACCCTACTATGTGGGATTATATTGGGTTTGTTGTTGTTGTTGTTGTTGTTGTTGTATGTCCAAGCCTTGGTGGATAGAGTTACCTGGTACCTATTGATGGTAGGAGGTAGCAGGTATCCCGTGGAATTAGTCGTTGTGCGCGCAAGCTGACCCGGACATCATGGTTATAAAAAAAGAAAAGAAAAAGGTGATCCAAATCTTTGTAATACAATATAGTTGCTCTAGAGGGCCAAATGCATATGAGAACTTCATTTTTACCAGAAGGAAGGTTTGAATGGCTTGCCTATTGTCTTTGTCATTCTGGAATTCATCAATCAGGTAATCTCACGCATGCCCGTCTCATTGGCTTTAGGAAGGAAACGGGTTCATCACCTTAGGAGCCATACTTTCTTCCCACACTAAGGATTTATTGCTATCAAGAAGTGGGAAAAGGCAGCTTTCTCGCTAGTCATTCCTCCTAGCACTTTGAAATTTTGCTCGACATTTATCGCCATTCTTTTGTGTTGCTGGAAGGATGAGGTTGGATAGTTTACGATTCTCAGTAGGAGGATCTTGTATCAAGCTTTAGGCTCAGCATATTTGATTCAAGAGAAACTGGGAATCTTGAGAACATATAGTAGCTTAAAGCTGCCTATTTTTGTCTTTCCATTAGTTTTATGCTCTGTAACGTCGTTTTACCGGATAAAGTATTCTTGTTGTATGCATGTTGAGGCTAAATGGAGTGTATACTTGATCTGTTATCCGTGTCTTAGACTTCACTGTTGATGGGAATAGCAGGGAGACGAACCAGAGAACTTAATAAAATTGTAAAAATTACTCATCTTTGATAGTTACCTTTGCTTTGAGGAGACTCTTTCATTTTCGGGGCATGAGATTTGATGAATGACGAGAAAGAAAGACCAGATTGTATACAAATAGGCTTTCTGATGCTTGAAATATGTAGCAAGAAAATGTTCATGTGGTAAAGCCAGGGGAGAAAGGAACTGGGGGATTAAAGCTACATCAAGCCATTGTTATTTAGTTCTGTTATTCTTGTTACCACGATTTTCAGATTTAACGAATGTTTCTGGATATTGGCTGTGAATTTACAGGACATTTATTTAACAAACGGTTCAACGAGAGGTTTGCTTAGTTCGAGAGAATGGAGGATTTTCATCAACTCATAGTTTCACGAACTATGCGAGGTGATTTTTTCCTTTAACGAACTCCATAAGTTGACAAGCCACCCGCACCGGGTGTTTACACCAAGCCGATAGATATATGACATGTGTCTTGCATATGGACTTCAATCATTTAACCATGGTAAATTACATGCATTCTCATCTAATTAAATTAATTAACCATAGTGAATTAATATAGTTTGGTGTAAACACCCGGTGTGGATAAGTATTTTCGTTAGCATTGTCAAATCATTTGCAAGTGAACAGGCAAGTAGGCATTTATATCATCACTGTTTTACCTTAAACCGATAAATACATGGTATATGTCTATTCATCCTTTAGCATGGTATATTTTTCTTCTTTTTTCTACTTTCTATTCCGCGTTTTGAAAAATGATTTTGATAATTCAGTTCGGTATTTTCGACATTTGATTTTTTAAAATATCAGATACTATATCAAACCAAACCTTATTAAATTCGATAAGATTTGATTTTTCTCTTTTCAATTTCGGTGTCATTTGATACAATTTGTTGGGGTCAAATATGACAATATTTACTGAACTATGAGCACTACTAAACTAGGTGTCATAACACAAATAATCATGCAAATTCACTGCTTACTTTCCTAACAGACTATTTTATACATCTGCCAATTGGCCATCTAAAATTTCTAAAATATGGGTGCACCACCAAATTAAAAAAAAAATATGCATTAAGTTACTATTCCTCTAGGTAAAAAATTCAACATTCAAAGAAAGTGGACCATTCAATCTTTTAGAGCATGGGAACCAACATATAATATTAGATATATTCTAAAAAATATGTACATAAAATACTTAGTTTGACTGGAAAACTTCACATACCCTATATATTAGACAATAAATTTGCCCATATCTATCAATATTTTTAGTTTAAATAGTTAGGCGAGCGACTATATAAGTTAATTCTTCTATTCCTTCCTTGAAAATCAAGGGGGAAAGTGAGCATGCGTATCTATATTATATTAAAAGGAGTGTAATATGCATTGTGGTTAAGCCAAGTGGCAAGCTAAAATGAAGCCACTTGGCAATCAACATTAATAATTAAAAATTATCTATATTATATTAAAAGGAGTGGAGTATGCATTGTGGTTAAGCCAAGTGGCAAGCTAAAATGAAGCCACTTGGCAATTTTAGGACAACATTAATAATTAAAAATTATAAATGAAAATATAATTAATGGAAGTAGTTGAATGAATCTTATACATCATCTAAATAGATCTTAGACAATATAATCTATATATCTATATTTATATTATGTATATTTATATCTATATATTGATCTACTCATAGATTTTCTTCTATATTAACTAGAATATGGAGGTAAAAAATTAATTCAAAAAATTATAATAGAAAAAAATAAATAAATATAGAAATACGTAAATTTAGATAACCTATGACTATTATTTAGAATAAGTTAAAATATAAAATAAAACTAAAACTAAAATTTACTTAAAATATTAAATATTATTGACTTTAAAAAATAAAAAAATTCAAGCAACAAAATAAGATCTTAAATAAAGTATTTAAATTATATAATGTAAGAAAAAAATTAAATAATCAGTAAAAAATATTTTAATAACAAAAACAATAAAGTCATATTAATATTGATAAAGCGGGTAAATGAATTATTTATACGTAAATATTACTATAACATTTAGATATAATGTGTTCAAACAATTAAGAAATATTTTTCTATAATTAATATTTAATTTGAGTGCGGTTAGTTTAAGTTTGAAAGCATAACATAATTTTTTGAAAATGCGGTCCAATTTAGAAAATAGAATGATAAGAATTTTTTGAATCTAAAATGAGATTGTTTTTAAAATATGATTAAAAAAAATCATATTTTGGAATATGAACAATAAAGTCCAAGTTACTACTGAACGCTTTTTAATTTTTATCTATATTATATTAGAATGAGTGGTAGAAATAAATATTAAATTCAAACAAGCTAATAAAAGCCACATGACAATGTAATAATATTAAGTATTGAATAATATAATAGCAAAACTAAAGAATAAATAAAGAAAATAAATAAAAATTCAGATTTTTTTTAACATAGAAAAAAGGGTAAAACTTATTTAAATTTGGGATGAGAAAATTTTTTTATATTATGATAAGAAAGGTCATAATACGGATAAGTCCACGTAACTCAAGTCTAATAGACAAAATGAAAAACTAAAAATATTGAATAATAAAAAATAAATTAGAGATAATATGAGGATGTGGACAATAAATTTGCGTCGAGAAAATAAAATCAAGACCGAAAATATCGTAACAATCGTAGTAATTTATTTCGAATATTTGAGTGTACAATCTCTATGATTCCTCTGATTCTACTTTTCTAATATAAATTCAAGGGCCTTCGAGCTTGATCTTGAATTTGAAGTTGATTTATCCGTCGCGAACACTTTGATTGTTGCCACAAATTTTATCACGAATAAGTAGCCTTGATCTTGAACGCCTTGTATTTGATTTGACTTCGTTCTTGATCTTGAGTTTGATTGCTTGAACTTGAACTTGATTTGTTCCTCGTTCTTGAGCCCGAACTTGATTTGTTCTTCGTTTTTGAGCTTGAATGCTTGATTGCTTGAAGATTGCTTGAAGATTGCTTGAAGCTTGCTTGAAGCTTGAAACTTGTGGAAGAATTTGCAGCGTTTGATCCACGAGCTCTTTCTTGCTTCTTGTTATAGCTTCTGGTTTCCTTTTTTGAGTTATGAAGACCCCTATTTATAGTTATGGGAGGGAAGAGTTATGATAAGAACAAACTATTTCCGACCAATCAAATTGAAGTGTGACAAGGCCGTATTTGATTGGCCAGAACATGTCACTTGCACACGTGGCGCGATTTCATTGACCTTTTAGTGTGACTTGGCATGCCTTGTCATTTTGACACGCGGCATGATCCTATTGATTCTTCCGTTTGACTTGGCGCGCCATGTCATTTGACAAGTGGCACCAAACTGGGCCTCTAGGAAGATGTCATCTTGGGCTTAATGAAGTGGGCTCATCACCTTAGCCCAATTAAATGAGCTAGCCCAATGGATTAAGACTTATTTATGTAATCCATATATATTGGATTTATATAATTAATTCAATTATATTAGCCCATATATTTATTTGGACCAATATATCTTGAATTTAAAATAAGTCCAAATTAATCTATGATTTTAATTCGTACAAATTTTATATGCCTTCAGAGGATATTTATAAATCATAAGTTTAGAAAATAAAGTAAATTAAAATACTTAAAAGATTATTAAAATTTTTAAATAATTTAAAGTTTTCGAGCAATATTTTTAAAATAAAATAAATATTTATTTATGATTAAAAAATTTATATATTTATCTATATAATATTAAAGAATAGTAGTTGATAATG